AATAAAATAATCTTGAATCTTTATTTGCTTATTCATGCCCATGGGGCTAAATGCATACATCAGAATGTGATGTTACATGTACATCGTACTGAGTAACATGATACATAGGATACAAGGAAAACAGAATAACGTAAAAGTCTTAACAACTACTAGAGAATAAACTAATCAAGGCCTTGAGGATTTCCTCTCTGTTTTAAAGCAATTGGATATACATTCACAAAGTTTCTCTATTGTATGGTCATTACTGGTGGACATGAGATGACTGAATACATCTTTCTTTGTTCTACCTTTATACAGTATGTCTAAGTGGATTGTTCTAAATAGTGTGTCACGTTCAATATCAAACAATTTACAATCAAGTACAAAATGTATTTCATCTAAATCTATTTTATCATGTATTTCAAATAAACTCTTTATATCCTTACTTTTTCCCTGCCTAGGATAGTCCAGCCGGGTGAAAGGTCCTGTGTGTTCAGTTCATCCTTGTGATCTAGGCAGACACACAGGAATAAAATAGCCTGGTTACCAAACCCCCCTATCATAGCTCCCTCGGTAGGACTCTTGAATACATGTACGAGAAACTCAAGACCAGTTTCAATCTATCAAAACTCTCGTTTCGGACTCTACTTAATATGACACAATTCCTAGTCCTGGACCTGGCCGGTCAGTTTTCACAAACAAAAAGTATGATCTCCTGTGAATTAAGAAGAGTACTATTTGTATATATTGTTGTTGTTGAATTGTTTGTTTTTCATTCATGCAAACAGCGTAGTCAGACGCAAGTTTGGCAATGTACTTCAAGCACACTGGTGAGAGATGGTCACACACGAGTCTAAATCCTTCCTGCTAAAAAATTGCAACTTGATGCAACCCAATGCTAGTTACCATGGTGACAGATGGTTCAGGTCATTGACATTATTTGTTTGGAGAAGAAGTCTGAGGAAACATAGCAAAAACGTGTTTTTCTTCGGTAAGGCCACACCGACTTGATTTTATGGATGGCATCCTCTGAAGACTCCCAAACTAGTGCGCGAGGGCGAATAAAAAAAATCCGGCCAAAAATAAAAATGGTACTGAACCACAGGAATACAAAGCTGGTATTGTGAATTTGTGGCAGTATATAGCGACGTAAAGTCTCCACCAGATTTCTTTTGCAGGATGATAATCGTAGAAATCGGCCTATACATGTAAAGGGTATTAATTGGCCAGAGAAGGTAGCCAGCCAGAGAAGCTCTGTACTTCGTTCTTAAGTCACAGAGCTTCTGTATCCATCCTCCAGAGTTACCACCGGCTCCGTATCGTCGCTAAATACCATGGACTACCCAGGCCTAGAGCCAGGCCAGAGCCTCGGATGACGTGACCTTTTTTTTTTGGGGAGAACAGGCGAAAATCAATGCGCGCGCGGATGTCATCCATAAAATTAAGTCGGTGTGGCCTAAACATAATACATGCGGAAGCCAGGGTTCGGTACCTTCCGAGAATCTGTAGACGCAGTACAGGACGTAAACCACGAGGCAGACAGTGATCCCCGCACACAGCCTGATCTCTGACTTCGGAAGCGGCACGAAGTTTTCCGAACGCCCCTTCCGCTCGGCAGATTCCGCCGGTTTCGGCTCGGTAAAGTCCGTGCCCGGTGTCCCAGGCTGTGTAACATGAGTAACAGGTGGTTGACTGTCTCCACCAGGCGGCGCTGCTGATTGGTCTGCCCTCCGGCGGCGCAAGTCGGCCTGTCGGGCTCCGGTCGGGACCGACATCGGGCTTTAACTGCGAGCTTATGAAGAAAAGTATCGATCAATTTCTGCATCAATCAGTCAATCAATCACTTAGTAAATGTAGCAATCAAATAATTGATCGTTCAATCACCAAATATATAAAAAAAACTACCAAAGTACAAGTTTTTAAATATGGCAGAGCTAGCTGGTATTACGATGTCAGTTAAATGTGAACTAAAGATAGGTGGAAAACTTAAAAGAATGTGATATAATGTGAGTGAGAAAATATGGGAGTTATTGTAATTTTTTTAAAATGTGAATCGTAAAATCATGAGCTTAGTCTGTAACTGTGCACATGTCTAAAAAGTGGAGCTGAATAATTTTTGATTGGCAGAAAAGAGGGCGTTGATTGGCTCAGAACAAGGACAGAGCCACAATTCCACGGACAGTGAACAAATAGGACAAGGACACATATAAACATGCTATTTACATTTCTCGAATCAAGTACCATAGATTTTAAGAGTCTCGATGTTGGAGACATATTTGAATATATCTTTACATGTAATGGTCCGCACAACGCAAAAATAGGTAGATATATAAAGGACTGCTTTGTTATTAGAAAAAATACCGAAACTTGTGATTAGCTCACTCGATTGTAACACTTTATCAAAGTCTTGTGACACCCCTTATTATTTGAATGATTATGATATAGATATGTTAGGTTTTAGTCGACTTTAGGTCTTATTCAACACACTTATTTTATTGTTGTTACTGTCTTTATGCAGTTTGCCATACATTGTACCATGTGCAATTGTCGTGCAATAAAGTTCTTCTATAAAGCGTTTGTAGCGTCCTTGGTGGCTGTATAGTATCTCCATTTCACGATCCACATATCATCAAATTCTCCTATTCACATACATGTATTTATATAAGTCACATTTTACATTGAGGTTTCTACGCCTAATTCCCATTATTTTCACATCTATACTGGTAGTCTAGATACATTTTTAACTATAAAACCGAAGTGTAATATTCCACATGTAAAAAAGGGGTTAAGCAATGGCTACTAGTATATGAAATGTTAAATCAATAGTATTGGCATATATTTTGTGGAAATAGACACGATGAAAAAAGAAGAAAACAGAACATAATGTGGCATTATTAACGCAGTTCAGCAAAGAGAAAACGACGGCCAACTTAAATGTTGTTTTAAATCATGATTAGTTTTTACTGTCGGAAATTTAAACAAAAGTTGTCCCTTCTCAACTTTCCCGGCTCACTGAGTCTGAATAGCGAGCGTGTCTGACTACACAAACTCCGCACTCTCTACCTGATACAGGCCGCTGTTTGGGAAAACACACTTGGCCTGCGGT